CTCGCAGGAAGTAGTAGGTCATCTGGGAACTTTTTGCCTTCTGTTTTTTTGAATACTATGAATTCAGACATACTATTCTTTTGGCGTACTTTTTTTTTTTTTGCATTCTATATAGTAGGGAAGTAACCAACTTTGGCAGGGACTGATATCATGAGTCATTTAAATCATTCATTCAATTTGTTCAAGCATTCACTGCCATTCAACTTTACCCGTGGCCTCATGGGATAGTAAAATATTCATTGAGTGCGCACTTCAGAATCTCGCAGGAAGTAGTAGGTCATCTGGGAACTTTTTGCCTTCTGTTTTTTTGAATACTATGAATTCAGACATACTATTCTTTTGGCGTACTTTTTTTTTTTGCATTCTATATAGTAGGGAAGTAACCAACTTTGGCAGGGACTGATATCATGAGTCATTTAAATCATTCATTCAATTTGTTCAGAAACACTGATTAATTTAGGAATGAAATAAGTGATTAGCTGCTTCTGAATTCACATACTGTCTGAGTAGGAACTACATTTGATAAAGAACTTTGTGACCATTAAAAAAGTAAGTTCTGTTTAGTATGAATATTTATAGTATGAATGACATCCGGACAGCATTTGTCATGTTGTCTTTGTCACGTGACCCTACAGCATGAGTTACATCGCTTCAATGTCATTCACAATTTCTATCCCGTGGCCTCATAAGACAGTAAGGGCCTGTTTCAATACCCACACTTGCAGTCTTGGCCACTTGAGAGTGCGCGATAGGAAGTAAGTGCACAAGATTGTCCCAGGTCTGAAAATGGCAACGCTCAGTGCTCTCAACATTAAATCCACACTCTCTCTAATATCACTTCAGAGGGGTATTTGAGGCTTAGTGTACATCATTCATCACATTCAGGAACTTATGTGCCCCGAAATCATGAGATGTTGAGAAAAACTTTGTAGTGTAAATTAGTTTAATATAAGTTGTGTAAAATGTACAGTGTTGCCAATATTATTGGTACAGAGATGGGTATATGTATTTTGTAAAATATTTGCAGCTGCTTTTTATCACTTAATTGGAAGCACCACAATTAAACTGCGACATACACAGGGACAACTGAACAGAAATGTAAACGTTTATTTTGAAGCGTGAAGTATTAAATGTACAAAATGTGTAAATATAGCTCTGTAAAAATGTAAATTTTTACAGCACTGTTAAGTGTGTCCCACTAGATAATCGAAAGTTCTACACGCCCCATTGACCACTTTGGCCAAATGCAGGAAATATGTCATATAAGTAGACAAGTGGTCAAAGGTCAAAGATTGCAAGTGTGGGTACTGGGACAGGCCCAAAAGTGTCCAATGGATGCACACTTAATAATCTAGCCGGACATAGTAGGACATCTGGGTACTTTTTACCAACATATTTGGACGCAGAGACTGTCTTTATGACTCTTTCCAAATAAGGTGCTATTTGTTAACATTAACTAACAATGAAAAATACTTATGTTAATGCATGACTAGCATTAACTAATTGGACCGTATTGTAACGTGTTACCTACATTTTCTTTATTTACAATTTTTCTAAATCCTAAAACCTTCTTAAATAAGATTTTAAATAGGTTTTTAATTTGAGCTCAGACTTTAGACACCGCCATACATAATGCAGTTATTTCTTTAAGTCTAACACTTTGTTGTCATGTGATGACACTGCTAAAGCATCTGTTCTGTTTAATTTGTCACCCATAATCTAATTGCAACAATGCAAGCTGTTTTCTGAGGTTGCACACATTCCAGTGAGGACTGAGTGCTTCGTCTTCACATCGCTTCCCTCTGTGCTGTGGTACACAATGCTGCCCCTCATCTGATTAGCGTGTGCTGGAGCTGCTGCTGCCCAACCCCGGCTTCCCCTGATCTGACTCCGTTCCATCTCTCACAAGGAATGCTGGACTCTCATGTGATTTCTTTCTCTCATTTTCCTAACAGTCATTAATGTGCATGCAAAGTGGACGCCTCCCTGCTTTTAGTCACTTTACCATGAGCTCTGTTCTTTTTTTGTTTACAGCCTGGATGACAACCGACTGCAATTACGGTTCTCTGAAAAATGTATTAAGCTTCTTGCTTGAGTCCTGATGAGAAGCTCTGCCAAATGCAGTTACTAAGCATGGCCTGAAGCAAGATATTACATATGTTTTGATGGTTTAACCATCCAAAAGTGACAAGAACATCTAACACTGCAGTTTAAAAGCTTGTAAACAATGTGTCCACCACAACATCACACTATTTGTGGTGAAACAGCATCGTCCGCTTTGTTGGGTGGGTCAAGAGCGGAACATAGGAACAGAGGGAATCTGTCCTTGCTTTTTGCTATTCTCTTTTATTCTCTTTGATGTGTGTCTCTGGTCATTGAACACGATGTCTCTGTTCTCAGAAGCTGATTTCAGAGATGGAAGTTTTTCAATAGCTTTCAAGTAGGAGAGCGAGATTGGCTTAGATTTAACTGTGCACCAGTTCTGTCTTATTAGGGAACTTGGTTTCAAAAAAGAACAGTGCAGAATTACTGAACGGCCATGTGGAGGGCCCTCCCAGGGGCCTAAGCAGTGAGGCACCCCCTTTCCTGTTTGTGCATTGCATCCATTAAAACTGAACTGGAGCCAAATGTGTAATCAGGAGCCCCTGAACTTGAACAATTGTTGTTTCATAATCACGCACAATATGCATCAAATAGCTGAAACAAAACACAACAGGATCCTTTCGTCACTTGCATAATTTTCACACGTCCTCCAACATGGGGGTCTATTACCATCCATTGTTGCTAACAACGGCCTTAGCCTGCTCTCATACTGTGATAAGATGACTAACCAAGTTATTATTCATTTTCATTGATTATTAATTGTTACAAAAGACACACACACACACACTTATTTATTTATTAATAGTTTTTACTTTTAATTTTAACCTTGAAAATATCCCTAAAATACCCTGACGTTTGTGTCACAGGGCCCTGTTGTCCTTTGATCCAGCCCTAAATTGAAATTTTACTTGAGTGCATTATAAATATAATACTGTATTTATTTTATTAACATCATGGGGAGTTATGGTGAGTAACATCACAACACTTTTATGATCTAGAACAATAAAGATGAGATTTTTTGCCAAATGAACAAACGAAATAACACACAAATCATTCTTATTTGGCTCAGACTTACCAGCGGACAGAACGTGATCTATCATATAATCTTTGATTTTAAAGGTGATTTGAATAAGCTACTCTGTGTAACACTTCAGTTCAGCTGAGATTTAAATGCTATGGACATTTTATTATACAATTATGGTGGCATTAACATATAAATTACATTGAAATTAGGGCAATTAAATTTAGACTTTAAAAGCCTAGTTATTCTTGCCATCTTATGCAGCCTTTGACTGATCTAGTTAATTTAACATTATCACATTGGGAGGAAAGGAAAAATTAATATTGCATGTATTTAAAGCCTTTGGATGAAACAAATTCACCACCTGGTTTTCTTACAGGCCTTTGAAGCCCATCAGGACCGAGGACAGCAGCAATAATTCAGATCTTCAGTGTTGTCACAAGACTGAAAAACACGTGCTTCTAATGAGCAAACAGTTGCAATTTTCTTTCTGGTAATTGATTATAAAATATTCTAAGATATTAACAGTTAACAGTTAAAAAAAAACTTTCTCTTTCCTTAATCCCTCCCTGTCTAGCTTGTACTAATCTGAACAATGTCTGAAACTTTGTATAGCAAGCACTTCCTGTGTTTATTTGCCTCTTTATGATGAATCGCTTGTTGTATTTCTCAGTTGTAAGTCACTTTGGATAAAAGCGTCTGCTAAATGAATAAATGTAAATGCAAATGTTTATTTCATAAACGCCGGTCAGTTCAAAAACTTTATTAAAATGTCTCACATTAATGTCTTTGTACACTGAGCCAATTTAATGAAAGTGTCTGTCATATCTAAGCTGTTTCAATCCAGTTTTGAAGTATTTTGAACATGTACTCCTATAAATAATACATAATTAAAGAGGACTGCCACATCATGCGTGGTCTTTGAAGGAGTTTTCCCATTTGACCAGGTAACCTGTCCGTGTTTATCTGATGAAATAAACATAATGTATAATTTAAGTTAAAATCTCAAACATGAATACAATACAGTCCAAAAAATGTGCACAAGCAAGATAATTGATTATAGAACCCATAACACTATTAACAGAGCACACAGATAAACTCATACACAGGTAAACAAGATGTTTACATGCACACACATGCTCACACATATATATGGGTCAATGATGTGACACTCATTTTTGTCAGGATCCATTAAATTATTCAAAAATGCAATTCCTATTTGAACACCTGTACTATGATAAAATGTTTTTTTTTACATTTCTGAATTAGAAGTCATATTCGTGAGGTTTACAAAAAAATGTCAACGTGGTGTAACCAGATGGAGACTGTAAAAATTTTTTTAAACGCTTAAATTCTAGAAAAAAAAGATAAATTGGCATTATATCTTTCACTACAATATAACCATGGAAGCAGTTTTTTTAATTGTGGTGTAACATGGTGTAACATGCAGAAAGACATTCTGTTCTCATGTGACAAGAAAACCATAAAACTCGTATTACTGTGTGTCAAGATGATTTGTTTAGGTCAAATGGGGTCAGCCTATAAGAACACCATGATATTCATGAATCAAAATGATATAATACAAATTATGTTTGAAAACTGTTTGGAAGCTTTTTATATACTAATTTATCTAGGCATATTCAATGTGCAAGGAAAGAATTTTAGTAGCTTTTATTTAATGATTACACCACTTGACATTTTAAGGCAGATATGTGTCTATATTATAGACTGAAAAAATGGTAACCTAAAAAATTGCTGAATCAACACTAAATTTAAGGGCAAGATCAGGTCGAAATAGCTCTTTAATGTTACACGGTTACCACTTTTTTACAGTGTATTATGTTATATTATATTATATTTTCAAAAGATTCCCCCTCTTTATAATCTCTGACACTTTTATTTGTCACTGACCCATACACATATGTGTGTGCATTTACGTGCGTATAGAATGCTTGCACATTATCTTCTTGAACGCTTTCCTAAAGTCTCTATTGAAAATTGTATAAATTATGGGGTTCACAGAGCTGTTGCAGTAACCAATCCAGAAAAAGAGATTAAATAGAGAATCCGGTATTGTGCAACTTTCTCGGCATATGGCATGAAGGCTGTACGTGAAGAAAAAAGGAAACCAGCAGAGCACGAACACCCCCATAACCACTGCCAGCACGAAGGTGAAGCGCTTCTCTCGCATCTGTGCCAGTTTGGATTTGGACAAAGACAGCTGACGCGCCTTCGGCTCCTGATCGAGGTCCGACGCGCGGCTACATGCCCATGACAGCCGTCCATTTTGCTTTGGGCACGCGTGTGCACCTTCCACCTTCCTGCTCTTGGCGAAGCGCGAGTTTCTTTGTCTGTTGGAGACGCTGCTGTCCTCTAGATCGATGTCGTCGAGTTCGCCTTTGCGCTCTCGGCTGCCTGAGCTGTGGCTGCTGGGGCTCTCCATCTCTGACTTGCCTTTACGCACGAAGCAGGTCTCGGATTGCGAAGGCTGTCGCTCCATCCCGTTCTTAGCCACGAACACGGTGGACGCGCGCTGTTTGGCCACCCTGTAGATCTTGCAGTACACCAAAATCATGATGAGACCAGGCGCAAAAAACGACACCATGCAGGAGGAGAGGATGTACCAGGTCTCGTTGTTCAGCAAGCACTCCAGCTCGTCGTGTTTGGTCATGAGAAGCGGTGGGAAGGAAATCACAGCCGAAATGACCCACACCACCGTGATCATGAACTTTATTCTTCGCGGAGTTCTCTTTAGGTTGTACCTGACCGCTTTGGTGACAGACCAGTAGCGGTCCAAACTTATGGCGCAGAGGTGCACAATGGATGACGTGCAGAAGAGCACGTCCAAAGCCAGGTAGAAGGCACACCAGGTGCTTCCAAAGTACCAGTAGCCCATCACTTCATTGGCTAGGGAGAATGGAATAACCAAAGTGGCCACCAAAATATCAGCAGATGCCAAAGAGACCAGAAAGAGGTTCTGTGGCGCACGCAGCGCGCGGCTGGTGAAAACGGCCACCACCACTAATACGTTACCCACTATGGTCACCAAGATAATCACGGTAACCACGAGAATGATGAGCATCGTAGCGTACTGTGAATGCGGCGGGGGTCTAGGCGCGCTCGTGCCATTAGTTTCCGCGGATGAGTTCGGCGAGAGGAAGGGGATAGTAGTTATATCCATTCTGAGTGCCTTCGGCGCTGTTCCCCCATTTCCAGGCGTATTCTCATCCAAAACGCGCTTCGACTTCAAACTTGTAGCAACCAATCTGAAGCGCTGCGCGATCCGCCAAAAACTCTGCGCCAAACGTATCATACCAAAGATAGTGTGCTAACTTTTAAAACTCCCAGATGATATGAATATCTTTCATCAATTCCAGGTGCCTTTTTGATGGGGTAGTGGTCAACCACACAGAGCCAAGACATGTTTTGTTTTCCTAAAGAAGCGCCCGCGGAGACAAGCGGCAGGGAATGTCTGGTGTTGAGCTTGAGTCTTCGGTACGCTCCAGTGTGTCGCGCTGAACATATATGGGAGTGTTTGTGCCCGTTTCACTCCTCCTCTCTCTCTCTCTCTCTCTCTCTCTCTCTCTCTCTCTCTCTCTCTCTCCCTCTCTCTCTTCACGAGACGGAGGTGTGCTGTTTGCGCTGTCAAACTATGCAAGCTCTCGAAATGTGATTAATTAGCAATAAAGCATTGTAAAATCCATAAGTAGTCGCATGTTATAATAACTTTCATTAATAAGTCATGAATGTACATGGAATATATTAATCAAAGTTTAATTTCATTACCCAGTAATCTTTTAAGAATTATATAATGGTATTTATATAATACAGTTAGTTACTAGCACTTACTTCAACAGTGCATCTTATAATTGCCAATAGCAATATTTGTATGTAATGTACATAACTGATAAACACATTTGTAATAAACGCCTGGTCATAGAAATTATGATAACAGGGGCAGGTTATTGATTAGAAAATACTTATTTTTTGCTGGTTCCTTGCACAATACTAACACTTTTACCATGGTGCATGATTTTTAAACCAATACATTTTCACATTTGCATCTCATAACCAGCATCGTAAGTAAACTTGCTCGGTAGCTCACCTGGTACATCTTTATGGGTATGAGACCAATGATACACAAGTCACAATAAAAGAACAAAGAACTTGTTAAAAGCAAGCTAAAATGGCAAGATTGCTTTAAAATTAACCTTCTAGAGCCATTCATTGGACATTTAATTTAATAACCAATGGATCCTCTGTGAATGGGTGCTGTCAGAATAAGAGTCCAAACAGCTGGTAAAACATCACAATAATTCAATTCTCATTTTTGCAACACCCTAACACATAGCTGATAACACAAATGAAAAAAGTATCATTTTGAATGAAATCTAAACAGATATATAATAATAATAATAATAATAAAAAGGAATGAAATGAAAATAATCATGTTATATTAAAATTGTATATTTTTATATTAAATTTAAATATTTAATTTAATTTAATTTTGCAATATTTTACATTACAATTATATTGTAATGTAACCTACAGTTTACCAATTATCAGGTTTGTATTGTTTATTTATTTAGTAATTTATTAGACGCTTTTATCCAAAGCGACTTACAAATGAGGACAACAGAAGCAATCAATTGTAGTATTAAAACAACTAAAAACAGATCCAAAACTAAAAGCTAAAACTTTATAAATGCTACTTATACAGATTTTTAAAATAAAGAGATTAAATAAAAATGACAAAGGCATACAACAAAATTTCAGAACTTAACATTTAAATGAAAAACAAAAAATAAAGCTAAAAACAATTCAAAATATGAAAGAACAAAAGAGTATAATAATGATTCTAACATAACACTGCGCCAAACACCAAAAAAACAACTACATATGTGTATGTACAACCACACACACATACATATATACTGTATATGTACATACACATTTATAAATTCAAATATATATATATTATTTCATTTCCATTTAGTTTGTTGAAGTTTGTTGTATATTCAGACATAATTGAACTCAAATTAAAATACAAATACAGATAATACAAATCAAACGACCGTAGTTTATCAGTAATCCTAAAAAATAACACTGCCAAACTTACATGCTAAAAAACAACAACTTACACATAGTAAGAAATGGTTATAAAAACTGAAACAGAAGCGAAACAAGTAATATGAAAGAGGAGAAATAAAAAGTGATACTTATCCTTTGCCGGTGTCCCTGCCCGGTGGAGTCGCACGGGAGAGTCGATGGTCTTTACTCTCTTCGGTCTTCACACGAGGAGGCCTTCACGTGACGGCTGCATAAAATTAATTAATATTAATTAAGTCATTAATATTGTTTTTATTGTTACTGAATACATTCATTAAAAGTTATAATTACTAGCATTTTCACAATATGTAATGTTGTGACAGTTCCTCCTGAAGGCAATTAGTCACTAATGTAATTCCCAGTGTGAACTAATTAATGCCATATAAAATATGCTACATTCTGGAGCTTTGGGGTAATTTGGATGCTTCATTTTGCTCCACATGCTTAAGCAACAAATATCCTCATTTATTTTTAGAGACCTGATTGTTAACTTGCTATACAATTATTAGGCCTGTAATTCTAGTGAATATAGTCATTGAAAGTGAGATTCATTGACTACTAGCTGAAAATAGCAAATTAGGTAGAATTTAAGATGTCAGTAACCAACTAATTGTACCTCTGGACTTTTGCTTTAAAAAATCTAACTAAAATGAAAGTGTTTTTATATAGAACACCATTTTTTGAGTGTAAAAACAGAATTCATGAGTTAGTTAACTGCTGACCTATAAGTATAGTTACTCAACAAAGATAATGACCCTTAATGACCCGTGATGTTGAACAATGTGAAATTCAGTCAGCACTGAGGCATAATGGCTTTTGTTAAAGTGTCAAAATGAGAATGTTTGCAGAGCATGGCGCTGAATTGATAAATCTCTTAAACCCAGTTGATTAAAATAGGAAATGCTAGTGTTATATAAATATTGAGATTCAACAGTAATTTGCATTCATTTACTATAAAACAATTGTTTGCAACAGACTGACTAACTGATAAAGCATTGTGGCCAATAAACAGAGCAGAATCACAACTGATTTCAAGAGAGTTTGACGTTAACATGCTGCTAAGCTAACTGCCCAATACTAGTAAGCATAAAAATAAACAGCTCATATAATATAATAAGTATATTATGTGAAATTCAGTCAGCACTGAGGCATAATGGCTTTTGTTAAAGTGTCAAAATGAGAATGTTTGCAGAGCATGGCGCTGAATTGATAAATCTCTTAAACCCAGTTGATTAAAATAGGAAATGCTAGTGTTATATAAATATTGAGATTCAACAGTAATTTGCATTCATTTACTATAAAACAATTGTTTGCAACAGACTGACTAACTGATAAAGAGAGCAGAATCAATAAACAGAGCAGAATCACAACTGATTTCAAGAGAGTTTGACGTTAACATGCTGCTAAGCTAACTGCCCAATACTAGTAAGCATAAAAATAAACAGCTCATATAATATAATAAGTATATTATACCTATAAGAAAATAATAAGTTTGCTGTTAAATTAACAATAAGTATATTTATAGTTAATATTTCTCTCACCTTTATACAACATCTCAGGATAATTTTTTCACTGAACATGTCACAATGCATTCTAACGAATGTATATAATGCTGCCTTTAAATTTGGCTATAAGATATCTTAACACTGCTAAGCGTGACTCATAAAACAACAGTCGGAAATATATTTCAAAATGGTTGTTGTTGTTGGTCAGGCTTTTATGACTCATATAGTGCGATCAAGAATATGGGGCATATACTCGAGAAGGAAAAAAACACCTCAGTTTTATTCAGAGGCCCAAACTGAGCAAAAATAGGCATCTTTATAACAGTATAGCAGACTACTTAGAGAAAATGCATGCAAATATCGGTTGTCATCTATGATATTGAAATGCTTAAGCTCATGTATCAAAGCTCTGCAATTTTTATTGCGAGGAGCAAAACATATAACGCAATGCAATACAATGATAACTGAGAGATGCACATAAACATTTCTCAAAAGCTTGATGTATGATGTTCGTATTTGATCCTCACATTTCAACACGATTTTTCTAAAAAAAAAGAAAAAAAAAAAAGAAGTATAGATAATCAACTAAACCTAAGTTGCTTCAGTCCAGTAAGTGTTCATCTTTAAATATTACTAATACTATAAAAGTTATTTTACTTTATAAAAATCAGTAAAAACACATCACAGCAAAAAGACGGCTTGTAGGTGAATATTTTTACAATTATACTAAAAGGCCATTTACTTGGCAAAAATAGTAAACTATCAATTAGTTGACTCAATGCATGCAGTAGATTGTGTAAAATATGTTATTCATAATTTGCATTTCAATCATGATACAATAGGCTTTATAGGGTTTAAGGAAACGTTCAACAAAAAAATTAAATTCTGTTATCACCCCCATGTTGGTCCAAACCCGTTAGGCATTCTGTGTTGAACACAAACAAATAAATAACCACTGAGATATTTCTTGAAATATCTTCTTTTATGTTCCACAGAAGAAATAGAGTCATACAGGAACAACATGATGACAGAACTTTCATATTTGTATAGATTGGCCCTTTAACAACATGTTTTTAACATGTTTTCAGGTTTTGTAACACCTCTGATGCCCTAAAATATTGTCTCTGTAGGCAGCTCACTAGAGCACATAAGAAAGACACTGTGTGATGCTTTGAATGCTGCATTACTATTATGAGCAGTGGACTCACACTAGGCATTTGCTGGGTAATCAACCATTCTCTCTTTATGGGCCTTTTAGGGCAAATGCTCTGGCTTTGAAGTGCTGATTGATGTAATTACAAATTCAATTGAGCCCTCTTAATTGTAATTCAGGGAGAAGGTCAATATTATGAAATATTACTATATACTTTGTGCGTGAATGCTCAGAAATTAACACTGGAGGTTCACCGATTAATGAGTGGAGTGCGCTGGGATCTGTTGTTCTCATTTGGTTGCTTTGTTCACAGGAGTCAGCGTCAGCACTTATATCTCAGCTAACAGATGTGTCATTCCTGCTGCTTTCTGTGACAAGCTCAGATGTGTGGCAACTGTGCACATTTCTTGCTCTTTGTCAGTATGCTGGCTCACATGCATGTGTTCTATTATACAGGCGAACACACAGTTTTCTGCAGAAAATCCCCACGGGTTATGATGTTTTATGAACTCAGGGATGCTGAACTCCCTCAGTGTGTGTAATGACTTGGTGGGTTTACCAGCATCGCAGCTGTAACCCAACCCTAACCCTATGACGCCATTGGCACACGCGGCTGGAGGAAAACACAAGGTTTTGTGCCTTGAATACTGCCTTGAATTGTTTTCTGCTCCAACCTCCTTTGGTTTTTGCCCTTCAGCTAATGATGCTCCTTATTTAAATCTTCAAAAGGGGAGGGAAAAAAATCTTTTTTATAGTAGTTTCATCAAACCATTATTTAGTTGTTCATTTGCATTAATTGTCATCACCTTTAGTGTGATTGGGATTGATTTCTGTATCAAAGTCAAAGCAATGATCTATAAACATCTCAAATAATGTGCTGGGGAAAAAGGAGCTATCCATCTATCTATATATTTAAGAAATATTTTCTGAAAATATATAATTCAATTTTTTTTAGGCAAAAACAAATATTTTACTAAAACAAAAATTAAAATTACTGTTCATGAGAAAAAGCCAAAGTAATTTCCAATGAGCTGGTATGTGAAAGTATGAGTTATGGCTATTTGATTTGAAGCAGGACCTGTCCTTTCGGACTCAATGATTTGAGGTCTTGTGAAGGTACAAGATGATGTAAACCCATGGCAGGAAATATGCCCCCAGAATGCATTAAACGCTCAGGTAGCCCACGTTTAATCAACTTTGTATCCATGTGGCATCTTGTCTGTGCCAGCCCATCTCTCAATTTGCCCGACAAGGTCCAGAAGATGAGTAATGGGGCATGTTGGTTGGGATTTTTCAAGGTGTGGAGCTTTAAGGGAACATCTATCATGGGTAGCAGGGCCGTGTTATCATGGTATATCTGTCCGCTCATGATGTGGCAACTGGACACATGGGCAGCCGGTGAATAAACTGCAATTCCACATGACATAAGAGACCCTAGAGATGCTGGAAAAAGCTAAATGCAGCAGCTAATATTTTCCATGTTTAACATCTAATGTAATATATTTAATGACCTAGGCTATTTCTCTGCTCAATGTCGCCTGTGTTCCTAAATATAGCTTGTATACGTACTTGGCCATTCACGTTGTTATGCAAAGAGGTAAATGTAATTATAACATTGATCTTATTGATAGAGACGTGCTCACTGGAGGTGTGAATGTGGGGGTGTGAGTGTGAGAATTGAACAGGGAGACACAACAAAGGAAAAAAGAACCCTGTTTACTCTGAATTATTAAATGAGATGCAGAAAAGAAAATCTGGGCGATCAGGGCTCTCACAGCTTCTTGTCAAAGGTCAAAACGCGGCCCCTGTGACAAATTCCCAGCTTGAAGGGATCCCCCAGGGCCCTCTCTGTTCATGATTCAGACCCACAGGTCTCTTTGGTTTCTTTCATGGTTTCATTGTTTGCATTTGACTTACACATTAAGCTTCTTTGTTTTAAAAGAAAAACTGAGAGAAGGCAAAAAAAACAACAACAACAACCTTGAAGTTTACTAAAAAAAAGTTACTTGAGCAAACAATATTCTCAGTTGCATTGCTGTAATAATATTTGTTAAAATCTTCCAATAAAGTGGCACATAAAGTTAATAATATTGTAATATTTTCCTCACCATAATTATTTAATTATGTTTTAATTTTAAAAATGATCATAAATAATAATTGATAATACTTGCGCACCAAATCCGTATTGACAGCACTGACCAAATATTTGAAAATGGAAATGCGCCATGAAGGTCAGTGTAAGTAGTCCATTTGTTACCATCACCATCCCTTTACAATTGACCAATCAGAATCACGTATTCCAGAGAGTCACATAATAATGAATAAAAATGGACATACAGGGGATTTATTGACTAGTGATGTTCAATACAAAAAGTCACTCATGTATAATTTCATCAACACATCTGATGAAACAGATTAGAGACATTAGAGATTTCCACATTAGAGAATGTGTCTTTAGACTCCAATAAGCCAATTACAAACAAGAGATGCTTAATCCTCTTCATTTCAAACAAGGAGAGTCGCTATAAAAAAAGTATTAATCAGTTTATTTGCTTTATTCTGTTTACTGTTCTCTTTGTGTGGCACTGTTGATTTTTGAACTACCGAGTTTGAGTACAGAACAACCACAATAGGCTTAGTAACATAAGACTCCTTTTGAATTTGTCAAGTGTATTTAAACAAGTCCTCTGTATTACTCAATTACACGTCAAAACTGTCATCCACCGATGAATATGAATCAAAAGTGAATACTAAATGTGATATGGCTGGAAGACTTGGTGAATAAAGAGAAATGACAGCTATATGCCAAACCATGAGTATCACTGCAAGCACATGATGAGATTTCCTTCTTTTTTCTACAACCTTTACTTTTTCCCTTGACCTTTAGTCCCTGCTCATTAGAGATGAAAAATTATGACTTTACCAGACTCCTTTCCTACTGCGCTGAGATAATTATCAAGTGTTTGATTTATATAACCCGAGCCGTTCGATTTCTTGAAAGCGCTAATAATGCTGACACTCGCATGCTATTGAAAGCCATTCAATAGCTTTTGGCAGGGATGTCTCAATCATAGTCATTTAAATGAATCCTACTGTTCAAAGCATTAAGTCACTGCATTGGAGAGCTTTCAGGCACACATCTGCACAGTTAGCGGAAGTGGGAGCGAGATGATTGAGAAACACAAGATGATAGGACATTTGACAAGCACAACCCTTGCAATGCTCAGATAAGTGAATGCGGCAATAGCATCTGTCAGATTTCAATGTGCGCACCACAGCAGCATCCTCATTTAGCAGCGTGCTAAATGAGGATGCTGCTTAAAATTACGCTTTGGAAGGGTAGGAGCTAATTGGATGATGTGGATTCAGTGGGGCACATGTGGATGATAAAGAAATGTTTACATCTCTGATTTGTTTTGAATTGTAGAATTGTAATTGGTATTGGCTTGGTAAAATATACACTATAAAATAAAATACAGATCTAATATTATATCAGATATTGCCTTTCCAATATACTTATAAATCACATCATTGCCTCTTGAAACAGTGTTTCTTGCACTTTTTTTTAGATAAAAATCACATAAAAACTGTCTTAGAAACTTCATGTCATGATCATGTCTTCAAAAGGTAAACAGCATGAAACAAGTCTGCACACACACTCCACCAGAAATCATATGCAAAAAGTTTACTGAAATAAACAAGGCAAATGTTTCACATGTTGACCATTTTGAATGCCACACATGATCATGTCTTAAGCATTTATATTTGCTATGTTTTTTACACATTTTTTTTGTGTATAGATTTTATTTTCCCAGAATCAGACTTTCAATAAAATGTGAAAATTCATCATAAAAATATGAATGTTTTCATGTGTACTATGATAAATCAAATCTAAGAGTGCAACAAACATGATCCATTTTAATATTGTGTAAATGCACAATACTATCTTCTAAATAAATACATAAATGTAAAAATACATAAATGTAAAAAATTCTGCGTTCCTTTTACATGTCAGTGGCAAATTAGATATTATGTAAAATCATTAGCACTTATCCTGTACATGAGTCAGTTAGGCATGTGTTTGATAGTCATTAATGCACAAAATGATGTGTCTGGCATACCTGTAGTTATTTTATTATCAATAGGCCTATGTCATTTTGATATGTTTTTTTTTTCACTGTTTGTGAATTCATTAATTATAGAAACTTCCATTTAAGTTGTTTTTTCTTTAGCATCTGTTGGGTTTATGATTTATGAAAATATGAAAACAATCCAATATGCATCACAGCTAGAAAAACATCATAAAAATATCAAATAAACTAATTTTACTCAATTTCACTATTATACCACAATCAAAAGTCTAAGGACAAAAAGCAATGCAAATGTTCTATATCCATAGAATAGCTACAGTAGCCTATATACTAGTCTGTGTTTTATCGTCTACTGTTTCAGCTAGGCTACATAAATAAATAAATAACGGGTAGTATACGGTGTATACAGTAGGAGGTATTCAGTAAACCAGTATTCAATTTTTAACAAGAGCCCAGATGTGAGTGTAAAGCCCTATGATGCCATCCAGTGTCCAGTCAAATGTACTGTATGTCATAAACGAATTTCAATTATAACATATTTATTTTATTTTCTTGGAAACATGAAAGCCTTTAAAGACTTATTGCTTGTATATTCCAAGAGCAAACTGAAAGTACAGTTTCTTCACATATTATTCTATGTGGTTGAAATAATCTATTGGGAAGTGATGCACCTCATATCAGTTATAAAACATTTTATGATTCACGTATTATTATATTATATATTATTATATTATATATTCACGTATGTCGTCTGATTTTCAAGTGTTCAAGCCTGACAATCTCTTACATGTCAGTCGCCATATTATATATAATTTTTAGAGTGTTTACAACAAAAACATGCCTCCTATTTAGTTAACTTGTTTCTTAAATGCAATTTCATCAGTTGCCATTACTATTATCAATGCATAATGATCTATGGCGCGTTTATTAAAAAAAATGCATATTTGTTTTACTCTACTCGTCAACATCCGCAAAATTGACCTATTTTTGTGACTCCCATTTTCAGTAGCCCCTCACTGCAGAACACAAGATCCAGGGGGCGGGGTTGGATCCACATCTAGGGGGTGGAGATTGGTAGGTTTAGGGGTGGAGATGGGTGGGTTTAGGGATCAGGGGGTGGAGACGGGTTGGTTTAGGAATGTGTAAGGTGGGAGGAGTTGGATCTAGATCCCCCCTGGATCTTGTGTTCTGCAGTGAGGATCTCCCCATTTTTGGCCTGCCTCGCTGGCGTAAAACAGTACGGAGGCGTCGAGCTCACGAGCGGACCAATCAGATCGCTCGTTTCAGGGGCAGCCAATGAGGGAGGCGCTTCTTATCGCGCCCAGAAAATCTCACGGCCGCCATGATGCTTGTTTGCCTTGCCTTCAGTGAGAAAGAGCAGCGGATCAGAAACAAAGGAAACGCGCACTCGTCTTTGTGAACTGGAATGAGCTTACAGGTACATCTAATACGGGGTTGAGGCCTTTTCAAATGTAGGCTAGTGGTATGTGAGCAACGGAATATATTTTCTTTCACATTGCTTTGCGTCTGGTGTTGGTCTAGTTTTGTAAATGTATAATCGCATGTTAGCCAGTTAGCCCATGAGCTAATTTGCTCAATCTGAATATAGAGGAAATGATGGATCGATAAGATTGTGATCTTTTAATTTGTATTGGGTGCGTGCGTGGGCGCTTTAAAAACTATGATGGATTGATGAAATTAGCAACCAAGCAAGTTGAGATCTATGTTGTTGGTTATGTAAGCAGCCTGCTGTGTCCGTAGGAAAGCTACATATGCTAACGCAGGCGTATTCTATTTATTTATTAACATCGTAAAACGTAATAATTTACTTTTGATGGTTCCGGGCGATTAATATAGCACAAATGCACTTAAAAAGTAATGTGGTTTCCTCCAGTAAACGGATAACGCTCGCATTGTAGGGGGTCCGATCAAACGAATTCAGCAAATCTGGGGACAAGTACATATTACGATCTAAAGCCAATTCATTTCCTAATTCCGTGTTCTTAATTGACTCATTAAGACGCCTTGAAGGTTGCCGTTTTCTCCGTGTATTTGACTCGCACGGCTAGCAGCCCTAAGTTAGCTCTGTAACGTGGCTCTGGGAGATAAACACGAGGTGCTGGTGTTTTTGTTTGGGTTCCGTTGCACAGCGATGATGAAAGACCAAAAACGAACCGCATCTGGCCCGTTGGTTCACTGAATAGTTAGCGATTAACACTGCAGTTATGTAATGGATATATATACTGGCACCTTGTTTATTTGGAGTTGAGTTAGCAAGGACTTAAGCTGCACCTTTGTTTCTTGGGATTAGTAATATGAACCGACTTTCTGTTTGTGCCACGACTAACAGTTTTACTCTATCGAAGCAGATCTCATTTAAAACCACGTCTGAAAGAGTCGCCCTTTGCCTAAGGTGCCAGCTGTTCGCTCAAGATTTACTACCGCTAGTTGGTAACTTCTTACAAAACTTTGTACGTTTTGCGCAAGTATCTTTTTGTCATATGCGTAATGGAAAAATCCCCTCAGTTATTGGTCCTGGAATTGCTTTTGTGTGTGTTCTCACTGCTGCTCCCTTACACTCTCAGAGGGTTTAGTAATGTTGTTGTTGTTTTATTAGGCATTTCACCTGTTCTGTTTCCTGTCGTATAAAACTGCTTCATGTGTGTAAAGTGCTACACCTTTCCTGTAATATTGTTCTGTGGTGAAAGTGATTGTTGTTTGTTTCAGTATTACAGGGATGCCCAAGGAAAAATATGATCCGCCTGACCCAAGGAGGATGTACTCAATAATGTCCAGTGAGGAGGTGGCCAATGGGAAGAAGTCATATTGGGCCGAGCTGGAGATTGTTGGTAATGTTTGGGGTCTCAGAGGGGGTCATGATGTCAGAGTGAAATGAAAGCAAAATGCACGGTTCGTTTAAAGTTGGCATGAAATGGAAATTCACTTTGTATTTTGTAAATGCATGTTATAGTTCGTATTGTGAACAATTAATCTGTGCTTCTTTTTTTTTTTTACCTCGTTGTTTTGAATCAAAATGGCATAACTGGATATTCCAGTGAAAATGGCAGACTTCTTTCTGGTGACGTATGCAGGAATTCTCCAGTCTTTTAGTCCGCTTAAACCCACCCCGCAAGCTCACGTTCACCTGGCCTCACTTTTGAGCATGATGCCCACATCTCAAAATCCAAAGAACAGATGAATAGAAACAAGTGTCCGCCCTACATTTTTTTTTCATTACATTCAGATGTTTGTTACAATATGTTAGAAAAGCTGTGTTGCTGATCGTTTCATTGTGACTTTCAGTGCTCATTATTCCAATAAAATGTTAGTACTAATTAGGGCTGGGCGATGTATATTTAAAAAAATGATCAAAAATAATATGATAAAAAATCTCGATATTGTCAATTTTTACTATATTTGAGATATATCTCTGTTTGCATTTGCTTTTAAATAATAATTAAAAAAACATGATTTTCTTTTGCCCCCATAAAAAAAAAACAACAAAAACAATTTAGGTAGAACAGGGGTGTATTCCAGAAAGGAGTGGTATTTTGGGGGTTTTGTCACATTTACAGTGTCGGCATGATGAAATAAAAGTGGTGCGGTGAGAAAAATAATCTTGTTTCCATTTGCTTAGTCCGCTTAAACCCACCCCGCAAGCTCACGTTCACCTGGCCTCACTTTTGAGCATGATGCCCACATCTCAAAATCCAAAGAACAGATGAATAGAAACAAGTGTCCGCCCTACATTTTTTTTTCATTACATTCAGATGTTTGTTACAATATGTTAGAAAAGCTGTGTTGCTGATCGTTTCATTGTGACTTTCAGTGCTCATTATTCCAATAAAATGTTAGTACTAATTAGGGCTGGGCGATGTATATTTAAAAAAATGATCAAAAATAATATGATAAATCTCGATATTGTCAATTTTTACTATATTTGAGATATATCTCTGTTTGCATTTGCTTTTAAATAATAATTAAAAAAACATGATTTTCTTTTGCCCCCATAAAAAAAAAACAACAAAAACAATTTAGGTAGAACAGGGGTGTATTCCAGAAAGGAGTGGTATTTTGGGGGTTTTGTCACATTTACAGTGTCGGCATGATGAAATAAAAGTGGTGCGGTGAGAAAAATAATCTTGTTTCCATTTGCATTAAGATTATTTTTCTTACCCCACTGGCAGATAATTTTATTTCCTCCAGGAAATAAGACTAATATTTTATTATTGTATATAGAAAATGCATCACGATTTAAGAATTTTTAGATATTTGTTCTTGAAATAAGGCAAACATCTCAGCAATAAAAGCATTTTTGCAGCATGAATGAGTTATTTAAACATCGCTTATGCTTAAAAAAGGGGGAGGAGACCGAAAGAAACTCTGGGTTTACTGAAGAATACCTGCTCCCGACCAGGTTAGGTTCACATACTATAACTTACCGAAAGGTTTAGTTTTGTCTTTTATTGGGACTGTTTCCAACAAAACCCACTTTGTGGAATACACCCCGGCTACTGTTACAAAGTAAATACAAAATGTTTAGTGCAAATTTAAGCAGTTAAAAAAAAATCTAGATCAAGTCTCAAAACCAAAGAGATATTCTTTATCAAAGTTAAGACTCTGCCACGCCCCCCTAAAACAGCTTGTTCTAACACGCCCCCACATATCTACCTCACTGTGGAAATATTTGCATAATGCCGCCCAAATGTTAACGCAAAGAAGGAAGGCGTGGTTTCAGTAACCGCAGTTAGTGTTGAAGCAGCATGTCAGGGAGACGCTGTGTGTTTCTAGGCGAAAGCAAAAGCACTTTATTTGGCCTTCCGAAAGTAGATGCATTTAGGAATCTTTAAGATTACTTACAACAGAACAGCAATGCATTTTATGGACGACCGTTTCGTGAACCTAGGAGAGGAGGTAATTCTGACTTTGCTATGACAATCTGGCGCTTCTGAATCAGCTACTGTTTTGTTATTAGTTTACGTATTTGCTATTGACTGTTGAAATGCGGAGTTTTGCGCATTGTGTGTGTGTGTGTGAGAGAGAGAGAGCGAGAGAGAGAGAGAGACACACACAGACACAGACACAGGAGTCAGCTGTCTTAACCGTGGCTTGTGTACTGCAAACACATACCAGCTTCATCACGGTGTCTGTCACGCGACTCTGTTC